AAGTTCAGGCCTTCAGGCACGGAGCCAAACATACACCCATTCGATCTGAAGATGAAGTTTATTCTATCTATCATTAAAAAAATGCATTATCATCGCCCGTGGTTCAATGCATATCTCTCACTTCGGACATCCGTTAGCACGATTGCAGCATGAAGTCAGGTAACCGAGAGATAGAATATCCGTGGTTCTACCGCCGGACTTGATGCATACACGATCGTTGAACATTCCGACGGCAGCACTTGCCCAGCAATTGTTACATTCGCCTTGTTCCCTGAGCGATGAATTTCCACTTAGGAGTTATCATAACAGCAGTAGGGAGAACTACCTCACATGGCCGATGACATCAGCACAGGAAGCAAACTTCTGCCGAGCGTCGAAGCTACTTGGTAAAGTCGTCAACACCGGGTTTGTGGGTCCGAGAAGGCGATTTTCGCCACCTTCGTCCGGAGTCGAAGAGAACATCGTATCCTTAGAGCATCCAGCAGGAAGGTCTTTGATTGACATATCTGTCGAGAAGTGATACTGATCCCTGAGTTTGAGACTCGGAGAGGTATTCACGTAAGTTCATGACGTACCCTTGAAAGGTGGCTGATCTTTCGACGCAGTCCACGACTGTTGCATCGAGTTGATCTTGTCAACCATGGATTGCAATAAAGCTGGCTTGGTGTTGTTGAAGGATTCAGTAAGGTATTCAATTGATACGTCTTCATGTAGAATCTTCTCATCGAGCTCATTTTTGAAGCGGGAAAAATGTTGTGAGTCTTCATCTGGGGTATAGACGGATCCTGGACAAAGGACAACAGCGTTGAAACGAGGAGACATGTTGAGTGTTCCTACGACTCTGTTCCTTGATCTTGTCGAATACGCCTCGGAGATTGGAGACATCACCCCGAATTTGAGACATCAGGGCGCACAGCGAGAGGAGTAGGAGGGATTTACTCATATTGAGAACGAAGTGATATTACAGCTGCTAGAAAACAGTTCATAATGACCCTATAATCGTCTATGTAGTTATCCTCGGAGGAGAATCTTGGGTAGGATAAAGTAGGGTTCAAGCTTGGTGAAACCGTTGCCGCACATCTGTACATATCAACATCCGTACGTACCAACATCCGTACGTATCCACATCTGTACGAATAATTCGTCACGTCCCGCAGAAAAATCGATCGGTTCACGTGAACGCCACCTTAGTGCACAAATCACAGCAACCTGAAGATGTGCTCGTCCCTCCCAGGTGACTCAGCGAGACGAAAAGCGAAGGAGACAGAAAGAGCCGATGGTGATATCAGAAAATCGTACCACACATGCCGCGGCAGTCGCAATCGGTAGTATCCCAAGCCGTACAGTTTAAACTCAGCAGCTTTTAACTCGAGCACTTTTTTCTCATACAGCGCTCGGTGTAACACGCAATTGAGACGGCGTGATCGTGAACGCGTGATCGTGTGGGCCGCTGGCTTCCCCTCACATGGGTCTTATCGTGTCACTGTGCAACCTGCGCCATTACTAGGATCCCGGGTCATTTTCTGCCTATCTCACTTGCTTGTCTTAGCCCCGCGAGTCCCATGACGCCAGTGCTGCAGTAATACTGCATGGAGCAATTGTGGGTATGAAGCGACAAGGAAGCTTAGCGTCCTCGGCACAGCGTGAAGTCGCTTCACGCTGTCCACATCTAGGGGAGTCACTCACGGATTCAATGGTTTTCCATTAAGTTAATGGAAAATCATTAGTGCCACATGCCACACACTTGATTCTCGTCGTGTCAGCTCTCGTGGCTTCCGTAGAGGTTTTACTTCTGACTTAGCATTATCTCATACAACGCCACATCTCATCGATAAACTGGGTGGCAGGTCTTCTCCGAAGACCAAACGCCACTATCTCTCACATAGAACTTCGATAAGTTTGTCTACCAACTTGGTAGTACCAAGTAGCTCCATACCATTTTCATTTATTCGTTCCAGTCGATCAACCTCTGAATTTCACTACTTACGAACTTGTGTTAAAGTTTCTTATGATCGATCTCTCCGTCTACATGGGGAAGAGAGCTCGCGGGAGTGAGAAGGAGCCAACTAGAACTGAGATACGAATATAGCTCCAACCTCAACCATCAGCGTGCTGGAAGCCATTGGGAAGGACACACGCTGAAGAATGTTGGAGCTCTTCTTGCTTCTCACTCCCCAATGAATTTTGGGAGCGTGAAAGAGGTTCAACTATTGAGACGTGTATGAAAGGCACAACGGAACTTTGTGTCCTCATACACGCTGAGGAGGGCGCGCGCTCTAGAAGTTCAACCATTGAGGCTTGTATGTGAATTCCCCGTAGGCTTTAGCTGCTATGTTGCAGGGTCAGCTCAATAGTTATGGCATAGATTGGCGTGGTGCTCGTGATATGACTCCCCAAATGCTTATGACTGGTACTATCCCTAGACCGCCTGCTTCTCTTGATGACGTTGCCCCAAGGGATAGTTGGTCTTCACAAGGCATCTTTGGCGAGATCAATTCGAAGAAAGCCTCTGGTGAAGATGTAGCTCTTCGAGAAGCTAAGTTGGTCGAAGTGTTGCGTAAACATGTTATTGATATTCGCAAAAGGAGAGATGAATGTCTTCGTGATTTTAATACGGTGTGGTCCGTATGTGGTCCGTCAACCTTAGTGCTCCGATGAGTCGAAAACCCTAAAACTATAAGGGTTCGCAAAACCATAGCGAATGATCCAGTGCCCAATAGAGTGCAATCAATGGTCACAAAACTATAGCAACACAATGAAGACCCTATAATCCATATCCTCATATAGATATGGATCCCTAGGTAAGCTAGTACAAGTCAGTAACTAGTAAAAGCCTTGTATAGAACTTATACCGGACTCAACTTAGTCTAACTTAACTTATAAAAGCCCAACCACACGCGAACACACAGCGGTGTGAAAGCAGCACGCATGCACAGCAAGTAGCGCTCGCCTATGACCAGCATCACAGAATCCTTAGTGTCATACCTCGCGCCGTACGGACGCGCGCATTGCCCGCGTAAAATCAACGATTTTATAACAACCAGATCAATAAGCTCAATACTTCACGTATATATTCAAGGACCGAGAAAAATAACGAAGACCAAAGAGAAGCAGGAAATAAGGGCACCGTAGTAAGAAAACACTAGTCAGAGCTGCTAGAACTATCATCACCACTTTCACTGCTCGACTCTTCATCCCTTTTAGACTTCGACTTCTCTTCTTATCCTTCTTCTTCGTCGAACTAGAAGACTTAGACTTGGCCTTAGACGACTTGGAAGTAGACTTGGAATCACTAACCTTATCATCCTTCTGCCCTTGACCACCAAGATCTATCACACATGTCCAAACCCTTATCCAACGTGCCGTCTGGTGAACCGGAAATAAAAAACGGCTCGAAAGAAAAGCAAGAGTTGCTAAGTGAGCAAGACTGACTCACTAGCACGAACCATCTTGTGGCGCAAATAAACTCTAATAAGTAGAAAATGACTGATCCACCAGCTACGGTTTATATAACAGTATAGCATAGGAATAGTAAGGCACCTTAACAGTAAAATCTATATAGAGGCTTAGCAATGGGGAACCTGGACATCGTGTAATAGCTTCAATAGGTCTCGACTCCTTTGGCGTGTCCATTTATGGCCACACGGACTGACGTAGACCATATTATCGAGCTGTACCGTAAGGATGTCCTCATCAGTAGCCTTGGCAAGTTCTAAGCATCCACCGAGGAGTTCAACCCTCATAGGCTGGACCAACATAGATCCATCCTCAGTTCCCGCATCACCCTCGAGAACAGTGGCTAACCCGTCGTAGTCATTGTCCGCCACAACCACATCCGAACCATTTGGAGGTGCTTTCTTCATGAACCTTCTAAATTCATAATCATCACCAACACCAAGTTGTTCTCGAAGCCTTGAAAGATCCACCATATCTTCCTCATCTGGATCCTCATCCTCAGAAGGTACACCTTCCTCCGAGTCACCCATAATGAAGCTCTCTGGTGGTAGCAATCTATCCTCAAGCTGTTGTGTCTCTTCATCAGAAGGACAAATACCAGGAGAGAGTAACAGTTCTGACCCAAATTCGTCTCGGACCCGTCCGGATTCCCGAACTATCTTCTCCAAATCCATCTTCTTCCTGGCACGTTGAAGTAAACGTAAGTCGTCAATCTCCGTTCCAGGCCTCAGGGTCATATCCTTAAATTAAGGACCTTAATAGCTCCCTGTGAATCCAGAAAGACTTTTTTCCCTTCTTGAAGATATCCATAAATCACACCTTGCAATGCCGGAGCATGCTTGATGTTCTCAAGTGGGTATACCTCCGAAGGACCGTAACCTTCTGGCACTTCTAGACTCTTTCCCTCTTCACTCACAACTACCCCTCCAACACCTTCTAGAATAATACCGGGGGTTATACCAACCATTGCAGTACCGTTGAGTGAAGTGATAGTCGAAGGACCAGACCATATAACATCAAGATGGTGACCAATACGATTAGCCGGGCACTTGGAGGTGAACACTAAGTCGAATAACTTAGGTTCATACCTACGATCCTCTGTCATAGCCATACACTCAAGATTTCTCTCTTGACGCATACGCCATAGCTCCAAGTACTCTCTCATGGTAACCGTAAACTTCTCCTTAGCGCTTTCCAACAGTGGTCTTTGACGCTATCTTTGACAAAGCTCAAGAGATCCGTATCGAAATACTTCACCCTCAACTCGTCCCAATCAATATCACCGTCTGTGTCACCACGGTCACCAGGAACCCGTATACCGTAAGTAAAATGGAGTTCCGCTGGGCTTACATTCGCCCAGATTCTTGGGGTGATGTTATATGCTATAACAGCTAGCTGGTAGTCCTCAATATACGAGCTTTCGGTAGAACGATCCATAGATACTGTCAATGCTCTCGTCACTTCGACAAAGTCTTTGTGAGCTCTTTCCCAAAAGCTCAGGAATTGAGCATAACCGGGTAGAGTATAATACCGTACACCGTGCTTCGCAAGAACCACCTTAATCTCCTTACGCATAAGATGGACCCTATCCCTATCAGTGATAAGGACTCTAGGCGCTCCATGTTCACAGAACACAGAGTGTAACACCTTAGCGATAGTCTTGGGCTTGGAATCCTTCAATGGCCTTGCACAAGTAAAGCCAGAGGCGTGATCATGCACCAACAACAAGTAGTGTTCTTCATCATCGTCTCCTTGCGTGCCTTGTCTTCGTCCGTAAGGACCAGCCAAATCCGCACCCACAACCTGCCACAGCCCTGTAGTCAGTAACCCTTGTACATGAGTGGTCACATAATCCAGGCTGCGTGCAGCTCTAGCCTTCAAACAGGGTATGCATGATCTCAAAGTTGACCTCACCAACCGCTTCAGACCCTTCCTCGAATACTTCATCTTAATCTTATCATAAACTCGAGGAATACCGAGGTGACCGTATATGTAGTGGTAAATCGCAGATAATAGTCGAACAATACGATCCGAATAATCGGACTCACCAAGATATAACACTCCAGTAATCTGGTCCCTCTCGGTCTCATCGGGATCGCTTGGTTTTCGGTGAATAAGACCGTCTTGATCCAGGTAGCAAATCCTACCCAGTCGTTGCAACTTCGTGGCATCCATACCTAAGTGATTCCTTGTTATATCACCATTTAGGTATTGCTTAAACCGACGAAGAACGTCGGAACTCTAGCACCTTCTAACACAAATTGCCACACACCTTTCATAGTCAGCATCATTAAGGACACCTTCACCATAACGGCCATCGGGCGTGGCATACCTTTCCAGAGCCTGTAGTTCCTCAACTTCTTCTGGATTGCAGCCAGTTAGTTCGGGCAAGTCTATACCATCAACATCAAGCGCCATGACCTTAACGCAATCATCACCCAGCCTCACATCATTGCTTTGGTCTTGTTCAGGAGCTTCTCTATAGTCATAGATTACACAATTTGACTTCAAACTTGCCTCAACCTCCTTAGCATCGATTCCACGATCAAACCCTAGTTTAATAGAGTCTGCGTAATTGAGCTCAGACGGTATGTGCCTTATAACGCAATCTAGCTCCTTGCACATCTCCCTTATCTGACTCAGCCTTCGGCGTTCCGGAGCTGGAAGCCACTTATCATTTGACTCCTTACGTAATCTGTAAATAGTAATCTCACTATCACAGAGGAGCACGAGGGGTCTTGCCATATACCGTGGGGTTAGATCTTGTAGAGGTGTTTGTAACGGCTGCAGGAAGGTCTTCACTGGTAAGTAATTTGAGATTGCTTTCACAATCTTCAAACCATGGTACACTCCGCCTAGTTCCTTACGTGGTATAGACCAAGTGGCTTGGGTACCGGAAATAATCCCCCCCGTGCCATAACTCTAACCGGAAGGTAGTCTCCTGTGCACCTTATATCAACACCCCATGCATCATTGGAAGCATCCGTGGACACAATAATACCCTTCTCAGCGAGCTCAACAAACCGTTGCGTACGTGCCGTGGCAACAACTTCTTCGACTTGCCGTACCCAAAGCTTCAACCGATCAATCAAATCAACCGTTAGGATACTTGACCACTCCTTACACGTAGCGCAGATATCTCGCCATATCAACCTTCCTGCCATGTCCACTTCCAATAACAATCCCATAGGGTCATACAGCGAAGAAAGTATAGCACAAGCCCTTCTTTTGTTACACTGTTCAGCGGGCATGTAACCAGAGAACATACACATAAGTTGATCCTTATCAAGGGCTAAAGTATAGCCGAGTAGATGGCCATCTTCGTGTAGTTCCTCCCAACCTCCGTGACAGGTTGTAAGATCCTTAAGTGGATCTGTAATCAACCCATGTCCCTTGAAGAAGTGACTTACGAACTCCCTACTCGACCGCGCTTCTTCTGCTGTATCTCCACCAAGGAACAAGTCGTCCACGAACTTCTCGAACATCACCTTCTTGGGTATCGGGGGTCCATTTTTTATGTAGTTGACCCCTTCCTTCCTAGGAAATAAGAGGACCTTATATACTAAGTCGTCGTTCAGAATGTTCGCGTTGACCGATTCCTTAGAGTTCATCGATACCAACCTTACCAGTTGTGATATCTCACCGGTAATATCATAAGAGCAAGCCTCAGGCATGCTCGGTGCTGTAGTACTCCCAGAAGAGATCCTTTCCCAGAGAACCGTATAAGGTCCTGTACACGTATACAAGGTATACGGTATATCTGGGAGAGCAGCAACCATCTGACAGAAAGCCTTTGATACGTCGGACCCAATCAAATGGCGAAATCCCCTAACATGGAGAAGTGCCCCAAGTAGATTGTTTTGGGACCGTCCACCCTTAAAGCAGAACTTGTTGAGTTCCCTAAAGTCCAGAACTATCCGGCAGGGGGTAGTAACATGGCTGTCCCTAAACACTGGGTGAGCCGGTGTTAAGTGCCTTGGCAATGTCACTACTGATCCCTCCAGAACGCTGTCCTTAACCAACAACTCCCACACCCTTTGACACTCAGTAGCTGTAGGTATCATACGAAATTGGTCGACCCTATTGTCCTTCACAATACCGCAGAATCCCCTTTCTATATATTGTTGGAGCACCTTCTCGAACGAGACCTTCTGAACATCATTCAACCTATCAAAGGCCCTTGCTCCCCTCTCTGCTGTTTGTCGATAATTCATCTTGGGTTTCCCTTCGTTAATCCACGGGACACTCATTATTGTCCTGCCAAGTATGGCAATACCATCATAGCACCATACCCTCTCCAAAGCTTCCCATGGAGGCTTGGTGTCTACACCTTTTCCCGTGCAAGTTTGACAAGTGAGCAGACGAGAATGACAATGTTACCATCAAGAGTGACAATGAGAATCCAAGTTTGTCACAATCTAAGTTTGTTGCAATCAAGATTGACAATGAGAATCCAAAATTTGGATTCCAAATTTGTCACTTTTCTATTTTGTAACAACCAAGATTGACAATGAAAATCCAAGTTTGTCAAAGTTCAATTATGTTACAATCAAGATTGACAGTGAGAATTCATGTTTGACACCGGCAGAATATATCACAATCAAGAATGACAATAGACCATACAAGTTTGACAATACGCACACAAGTTTGACAATACGCATCCAAGTTTGACATTGAAGAGGGTTTCTTTGTGATCAAAGCCTATATCGAGGAGAAGTTGAGTGAGAGGGATCCGATAACAGATAGGCGGAGAGCTGAAGAGCAACAAATGCTCTTATACCCGGACCGGGAAGATATGCTGCGAGGAATGTGTGACGATATTGCAAAAGCTTACCACTGACAAGATAAGAGACATGTATAGGCTATCGGATACTTGGGTAAACAAAGGGAATCAAGGGGTCGCTTTTTGAATTCTTTCGATGTCATCCCAAGTTTACGTAGAGCTCTCGATGACTCGGGAACCTCCCTACTATGTAATGCGTGTGATTTTTTAAGTGAGCAATCAGTTTGAACCGTATGTCAACATGTCAAGTTGAAGTGTCAAACTTGGATGCGTATTGTCAAACTTGTGTGCGTATTGTCAAACTTGTATGGTCTATTGTCATTCTTGATTGTGATATATTCTGCCGGTGTCAAACATGAATTCTCACTGTCAATCTTGATTGTAACATAATTGAACTTTGACAAACTTGGATTTTCATTGTCAATCTTGGTTGTTACAAAATAGAAAAGTGACAAATTTGGATTCTCATTGTCAATCTTGATTGCAACAAATTTAGATTGTGGCAAACTTGGATTCTCATTGTCACTCTTGATGGTAACATTGTCATTCTCGTCTGCTCACTTGTCAAACTTGCACGGGAAAAGGTGTAGTAGAGGTACTTGATCATCTTCTACCGTTTTGTTAAGAGTGTCAATACCATCATCTATTTTTTGTGGGGAGTTTAAATCTTCCATCCTTTCAACCATAGTATCAGAGTCCCTGTCCACGAGTTCGTCGTCATTGGGGCCAGCAACACAAGATACCTTACTGGTTCTCCTCTCTACCATTGAAGAATCTTAACAAGGGAACCGTGACCAATACCATAAGGATGTAGGGTTCTCAAGTTTCTCCACGGTGACATAATCAGCATTCACTCCTTGAACCTTATCCGCTCTCACCAACTGATTTATAATATAGACCTGATAGTTCACCAATATTTCATTTGTTGGATGTTCCCACCCTCGAAATATTTCTTCAGGGAAATAATCAACCTTATCTGAGAACTTCACCTTCCCTTTAACTTTAATAGGTTCCACAGGTCCCACGTTGGTCTGGATATAAGTTCCTTCAGGGGTGACGTGGATAGATGTCTTCAATTTTGCCAATGTTGGACATCCTAGTAACAGCGGAACAGTTAAACAATCATCAGTGACTATAAACTGATCCTTAATAGAAATATCAGGTGTAGTAATACGTAACATAACCGCACCATATATCCTCAACTTACCACCATCTGCCACGACAATGGGAGGGGTAACCGTAGTATCGATAGCACCATTCCTACCAAGCCTCTCTAATGTAGATATAGTGACTAGCGATAATTCGGCTCCTGTGTCGAAGAGCGCGGCAATAGTCTCTCCTTCAATTCCAACATCGCCGATAACCATAGCCATTTTCTTTTCACAAGATAGATTAAGGTGATACCGTTCTTCTAAACCCTGTAGACCACCAGAAAGTGTAAATACCCTGAATGGAGAATAAGTAGCACAATGCACCTCCGCCTTATCTGGGCGATTAGTTCTCATAGGGGATGGACTCCTTGAAGACGTCAGACCTTTGATTCTCCCTCTACACACATAGGCCAAATGACCAGCCAAACCGCATCTGGCACACGTAGCCCTCTCAACTTGGATCTTGCAGTCATCCAATTTGTGCCCTGGACTCCCGCACCTTAGACACCTCTCATCTAAATCCCTGGGCTCTTCAGCTGTACACCTTTTTGCAGAATGACCTACTCAAGCAGCGATAGCACTTGAACTCGGCCTTATCTTGCCTCATGGCAAAGACGTGACACCTTTGCATACTGCTTGCCGAATCTTCACTATCGGATGCATGTAGAAGTGCTTGTACAAACTTCGATCCTTTTCGGTCATGACTAGGACTCCTAAACCGCTTTCTCTCTCCAGATTCATAACCATTTTCCATAGCGTAGTCTTCATCAATCATCTTCGCTATTTGGTACATTCGCCGATGCTTGGTGAGAACCTTCTCGCGAAACCGTTGATAGCTCACCTTAGGGCCTGATACATAATCATCCAACTTGATTCGCAACTTCTTATCCGTTAAACCCGTATATAGCCTCCACTTTAGCATATACTCCAAGGGTGGAGCACCCAAATGATATAGCTCAGTAGATAGCCTCTCGAGTCGCTTCGTAAACCGATGAACCGAATCCTTACCTTGCGTGCATAACTGAAAGGCCCTATTGGCACGCTGTAAGTGCTCATCGGTATCATGTATCTTCCTAAACCTTCTGCAGACCCTTTCTAAATGATAGGCGAATGACTTATAGCACCGGTGCGGGGGACAATCTCTGTCAGTAACCTTACCCCACACATCCAAATCCGTGTGGTGTTTCAGCCACAAATATTGAACCACTTCAGAATGACCTTCAGTAGTTCGTTCCATTTCTTCGATCCATGTCGTACCAGACCGTATATCTTCTCCACCGTTATACCTTCTTGCTGGCCTTAGCTTCATAGCCATCTGCTCGGCCGAGTCGTAGTCCTTGTAGTGGATCTTGGTCCGACACTCTCTTGTGGCACAGACATCACACTTCCGAGAGGATCGTACAACCCTACGTACTGGGATGGAAGTGTCCACCGCCTGTTAGCGATGCTTCACCCCATAATCTCTATCCTCCGAACTCGAACGATCTACTCG